GCGGATACAAAATCACAAAAGAACCAGGGTCTACTGGGTATCACTGCGTCCTATGAGAAGTGAGTGTGTGAGAAGAAGGTCCGTCCTCTTCACCTCGACACACACACACAACACAACACACACACACACACACCACACACACACACACACACACACACACACACACACACACACACACACACACACCACACACACAACACCACACACACACAACACACACACACACACAACACACACACACACACACACACACAACACACCACCACACACACACACACACACCCCGGTACCCCTTGTGTGTTGTGTGTAATGTTCCTTCCTCCAAAGTCGGACATAGTTGTGAGAGCGATGTATTTACATGTGTGTGTGTATGTCCGTGTGTGTGTGTGTGTGTGTGTGTGTGTGTGGAAGGGATTCAGTACCTCTCATGTAGTAGCAGTCTCCAGACTCCAGCGGCAGCGTCAGGCCAGGTGTGTGGATGTCCCAGGCTACCTTCAGCCCGATCCTCCAGCATGGCCGCTCCTCGCTGCCTCCCTCACTGCTCTCACCTGTCAGTCACACACAGCCAGACTCACTGCAACATTTGCATTTCACATTTATATTCACATTTCAGGCCTTTGGGTTGACAGTTTCACCCAGCGTGACTTAAGCTAAGTGGAAAAGTGAAGTCCTCACATTTTCTAAGGGGTGGAAAGTAACAAAGCTCATGTACTCAAGTTATGTACTTAAGTACACATTTGATGTACTTGTATTTTACCAGAGTATTTTTATTTGATATGACTACACTTATTTGTTTGATTTATTTACTGGTTACTTCTTCAAATACAGATTTTGACACACAATACTTAGGAAATAATTATAAAATGTGATTATTTGGTATTGATTAAACCATCCAAAATTATATTTAACAGAACATGTAGCAGCAATTTTGCTAAGAGGTTTTTTATTTAAAAATATTTCACAGTTCCAGCTTCAAGAATGTGAAGAAGTGCTGCTTTTAAAATATTTAAAAATGTTTAAATATTATATGTTTTAGTTTTTTCTGCAGAGTACTTCCTAATACTTTAATTACATTTTTCTGATCATACTTGAATACGTTCACTTCAGTACCGTTGTTGATGCAGTACCTTTACTTGAAATTGAGTATTGTTACAGTGTGGTATTAGTACTTTTAGTAGTAAAGAATATGATATATATATCACTATATAATGAAGGCTATTTAACACAATATTAGTTTAAAACACTTTACATCTCGAATACAAGTGCTGGCCAGGTAATGCAGTTCTAAAACACTATGATAATGCCCAGGACAATTAAATAAAAAGTAAGGAGTGCAATGATTAAATCAATAGCTCCCAAACAAAGGATGTAAGATGTAAGCCTTTGTCTCCAGCAAGTAAGAATCACTTAACAGCAGAGCAAAGATGATATGTGTTGCTGTGGTCAGATTGGCTGTTAGCACAGGATCGTTATGCCGTCATTATGCCGTGCAAGAAGAAATAGTTTGATAAAAGCCCTTGATGTTGTTTAGTGAGTGTGTGAGAGTGTGTTATTGGACAGCAGGAGTCCTATGATATTCCAGTTTCTGAACCCAGTCACTGTAACCACCTCCCCTCTCCTTCCATTCTTACACGGCAAACTAAGAAAACGAGATTTGGCTTGGCTGGCCAACACCCTTCAGCAAAATCAATACTAAAGTCTTTCCGGGCCTCTCTGCCCCACAGCTGCCTTTTCCTTTGCTCAGCACGGATAAATAGTAACTTAATTTCCAGCCATTGTGCTCTGAGAGCCAGCTAATGACAGTACTCCCCGAGGCCTCAGGAATGGGGGAATATCATCCTCCGTGCCGGAAAACGCTCAGTCGTGGCAGATTCCTTTGGATCAGCGCAGCTGGGAAAAACACTCTGAACAAATCTCTGGCTGAAGCATAAAAACAAGGTGAGGCTGCTCAAGGAGCAAACGGTCTACCAATGAGAGCAGGTGTCATATGTGGACCTTTGTCTCAGGAACAATGGAAGATACAGCAAGTTATTGTAAAGATGTCTCACGGTAATCATTTCATTAGCTAGTTCTGGGAGTCCTCTGCGTCAGCCACTTAGATATATACTACACAGCACCACAGCGCTCTACACACACGTTTCTTTCAAGTCTGGAGCTGCTAAGCACTGCAAGGTGTTACGCCATGGTGTTTGAAGCCCGTGTTCACAGGGTCAGAGTTGGAATGGCCTAGAACAAATCATTGAAATAGACCGCTGTAGCAGGTGTTTCTGGTTAACAAACACCAATGAAGAAAGCCCAGCTGTAAAGTGGGGTGGGATGTCAGAGCGGTTGGCATCTCACCTGTTATATATGGCAGAAGAACCGGTTCTAGACACAGATTGTGTAGAGCTCCCATTCTTAGCAACACTTGAACTACAGCTGCACTTTTATCACCATCATTCAGCCTTTGGAGGGTGCAAGGAATGATTTAGTGTTGTAAAAATACACTTATTTGGTTTAATGTCATTCCCAAAAAGGAGCTTTATCAATTAAGTGTACAATATTGTTTTTACAATACAAAATAAGTACGTGTTTTGCTTTGTATTTAAGTCTGGAATGTAAAACAAGACAGACAAATTGGATCTTGATTCCATGGTAGCTTTGCATTTGCTCTAGAAAGCAAAAGTGCCTCTCATTGAGATTCTCTATCACTCGGATCAGCGAGCGCTATCAGCTCTTGAAAGAGTGCACATTCCTTAATTAGCAGACATCGTATCATCCATACAGTACAGTCTAGGAACACTTATCAAAGCAGGGCTCATTATTCCATATCAGATAATTGCACATCGATCATTTCTTGGGGAAATGATTTAGATGAGATGTGGCGTCTGTGATAAGGCCTGTTGGTTAGACTGTGGCATTGAGCTCACGTTAAGAGCTCAGATCCAAATGTCTGTGATCTCCCAACGCACGGTCGGCGATAAGGCTGTCAGCAGCAAGCCAGTGATGACATTTGATAATGCCCTGACACTATCACATAGATGGATCTGATGCTTGCCTCACCAGAGGCCATGTCTACAGCTGCTGCCGCGCCGCTGTAGGGCCATAATACACAAGGTTAGCTGTATCTGATCTACAATAAAGCAACTGAGATAAGTTGATGGGATTTTGAAGTGAAAGAGAAAAAGATATCTTCATTTCTGAAACGACATTCAAAAGGCTTGATAAACTTTGGATTTAAAAAGCCACCTATCTCGACAATTGGTGTCCAATTAGCAAAACAAGTAACCTACTTTAGATTTGACCCTCACCTTTGTCGTTGTGACAGTTATAGCTGTAAACAGCCACTGGAGAGTGACTGATGAGATTCTCATCGTGGTGCCAGCCTACTGCCATCTTCCCCATGCCATAGTAAGGCTCTTCTTTGAGCTGGCTCATAGCTGCTGGGTCCATGTAGTTAAGCAACGTGACATTGAACTTAACCGGACCGGTGCATACAGGCGGAGGGCTCGGCTGCGAACAGCCCTGCCTGCTGGCTGCTTCCTCCCTGTCCTCAACGTGGTGATCGGAGGAGATGTGCTTCATTTTGGCCACAGGTTTCCCCTGCGCCGTGAGTCCCACACCTTTATTCTGTGTGCCACTGAGGGCCGTAGGGGCCAAGCTGGGACATTTTCCTTCATTGTGCTCTGAAGCTGCTGAGACTCCACTTGGTTTATCCTCAGAGGACTCTCCTTCCTCACTGCTGGGTTTTGACTTAGTCTCCCATTCCCCTTCTTGTTTTGACCCAGAACAGCCTTCTTCACTGTGTTTCGACTCAATGTCCCACTCCTCACTGTGCTTGGACTCAGTTTCCCCCTCCTCACTCTGCTTGGACTCCGAGTCCCCTCCTTCACTGTTCTTGGAGTCTTCACTGTTCTTAGACCCTGTGTCCCCTTCATCGCTCAGTTTGGCCTCCACCTCCTCCTTCAAACACTGTGTTAGCCTGTCCCCTTCCTTCCGCTGAGACACATCCGAACTGAAGAAGGTGTTAAGCTCCCACAATGCCTTGCAAGCCGCACTCAAGTCAGAGTCGCAACAGTTTTGTCCTTTAACCTCAGGGTCCTCGCTGTGCCAGGGGATGGCAAACAGCCGTGTGTCCAGATAGCGGTAGGTGTGGCCCGGTTCACCAAGAAGAGTCCGTGAAACGGCGGTGAATACATCTCGCTCTCGGATGCGAACCAAATCCCTCAGGAGGCAGCCCTTCCTCCTCAGGGTGAGCAGGGCGGCCTGCACCCGGACATGGAGCTCAGCAGGCACCGAGCAGGATCTCCTCAGAATCAGGCCTGAGTAACTGGAGTCCCACTTGGAAACACAAGACGTTTCTCATCAGGATCATGACGTACAGAAACATAAAAAAGAAATCTGAATCATTCTTATTTGTGGCAGGCTCACCAGTTGCTGATAGCCTCGATCGGGAGGTCCGAGAAAGGGAATCTTCTGGTTTCCCAACTCCTGCAGAAGCCTCCGCCTCTGTAGAAGACAACACAGTAAATAGGCTGATAAGTAGATGCAAGAAACTTCTGCTTGTAGCTACTTTTTTTGAATAAACTCAACTTCACTTTAGTGGTTAGGTGTTCAAAATGTATATGACTGAATTAATGGAAATAGATATGAGTAATACATCGCACAAATGCTTTGATTAGGCACTAAATGTACTTCCTGGGATGATCATTTTTACAAAAGTATGCAGTGTTTGAGAGGCAAATGTCTTAAAGGCATGTATGGCCTACATAGAGTAAGGCAGAGTCTGGTTAGACCGCCACTCCCAGTCTGGCTTTAAAGTACTGGAAACATTATCTTTGAGTACAAGACTGCCCTTTCCTTGCGGGAACCTAGTATTTGCTGACGTGAAAACATTTCCATACATCCCACCCTGCCTCACTTTATATATAGAAACAAAAAGTGTGAAAAGCAGAGTTATATTACACTCCGAAGTTTAGGGGCTAACAATAACAAACTGCAGGACTCACATAAAAATCAAACAAACTATTTGGGAATACATTTATTAAATGAATCTTAACAAACGTTGCCCTCAGATTGAGCTGAGATATCTATGGTGCTTGGTCCTTTTTATTGACGTCTCACGTTTTTATGATTTTGTGAAGGCTGCCATGGGGTTCCTCACAACCTTATAAAAGATGCCCTGTGCCATACAGCGCCCCCTCAATAAAAATGTCAACCTGGTGGGGGGATCAAAGTGCTTTTCACTGGGATGCATTCCATTCCGACCTGTAAATCCAATGGCAACTGGCATAAAAACTATATGCCCAAATAAATTTCACAACTCTTTTCCCTCCCTGCGATGGTATGTGTAGGTGGAGGCGTTGCGTTTGTGGTTTTAGAACCTCATATTCATTCCCCACAGGTGCACACAGAGTCTCTGCATGGAGTCTCCACAGCAGGGGAAGGAGAAATGTCACCGACATGCCACTGTCTTTTCACATCTTTAAAAGTTTTGCATGAATGGCCTGTGCTTCAACTACTATGCGGTTGAAGGAGAACCGACCCTGTGTATATTTCCGAGACATTTACAACAGGCGTCTCCTATTTCCACTGCCCTAATAATGCCAAAGACCTCATGTGGCACACTGCAGGCAATATGGGAACCGGCTGCCAAAACATGTCCTGACTTTTAGAGTGATATAAAATGTCCCGTTAATATATTAAAGTCCAGGTATAAAAAGATGTGTGTCCTCCCGACTCTGAAGGGGGCTGGATCAAAAAGAGGGCAAGTGGTGAAAAGTATGTGCATTAAAGACATGAGGGAGGAAAACAGATCCCAATAACACAGTTGGAAGAAATGGGAGGGCATCAGATCAGAAGCAAGTTTGGTGAATTTACCTTCAGGGATGAATCTTTACCTTAGGCTAAACAACACAACACCTGCTGAAAGTTTTCTTAAAGGACGCACCCGAGTATACAGGCCTTCCAAGTTTTTTTTCCCGGAACAAACAAAAACAGACTTGCAGACAGTTGGAATCTTAAAAAACAAAACAACATGCACTATTCATGGCCAGACTGCATTCAAAGGCTGTTGGAAGAAATTGACAAGCTGACATACATTCGTTGGTGTCAAATTCAAACTCATGACAGAAGCTCAAGATATCAAGGTGAGGCTCTGGGCTAGTGTTGTACGTGTGTGTGTGTGTGTGTGTGTGTGTGTGTGTGTGTGTGTGTGTGTGTGTGTGTGTGTGTGTGTGTGTGTGTGTGTGTGTGTGTGTGTGTGTGTGTGTGTATATGGGTGTGTTTATCTGTTTGCCGCTGTGAGTCTGTACAGATCCATATCCTGGCATCCATCTACTGTAGATGCACACACCTAAGTAAAAACCTTACAGTCAGCTTTAGTCACACTGCGCAAACCACTACTGTGTACACAAGCATGAAAGTGTGCCTTCATACTGTATGTGTGTGAGGCTCCAACAGATATACAAACATACAGGCCCATCCTAAAAAAAAAAAAGCACAGCCGGGGTAGGGAGCATGATGCCTCAACGCCAATCGCACACAACCAGGGCTGTCACACACATGTCAAAAACATCAAGCTACTCAGAAATTCCACAGAAAAAAAGGAGAGACAAGAAGTTACCGGAGCCCTCTGAAGCAGATGGACTCTCTCAGTATCAGAGGGCCGCTGTGTCTGTCTTGCTGTCTCTGTGTCTGCACCTGATTCAAGAAGGAAAAGCCACGAGGCGCAAAAAAAAGGTCTGCGATTCCACTCAGACCCGGGAAACGAGATTACCAATCCCATAATAACACGGTAGCTTCACGGTAGCCGCGGCAACAGTCTGCGCTGAGTGATATATCTGATGCTTTTTTTTAATCTCTCTCTTCCTTGATGGGATTATTCCCTCAGCCGGACTGTTTATCACAGAAAAACATATTAGGTAGAATAGGACTCAATGGGTTTGCTTTGATCTTGGCCTATAAGAGATATCAAACTGTGTACTATATATTTATTAATTTCACTTATTTCCCTATCTGTGACACTTCAACGGACACTTTCTTCAAAGCGTTCTTGGCAGAGTAGATTAATGTCCAGCGCTTAGCATCAATAGCTCAAAAAAGCCAGATAACTGCGCCGCTACGGGGATAAAAACACTTGCAGCCTAACTTGTGTCTGCCCCAGAGTGTGCATTGGAAAGTGCTGTGTGTGAAACGACTGCTGAGGGAGGACAAATGTGTCCCATTGGACTTGTCTGGATTTGGCTGATGTGTCTTAAACTAGATGGAAGCTACAATGTGGAGTAAGCCCTTACGATGGCTTGATAAGTAGACGTGTCACCTCATGTGAAATCTCTTCTTGTGCTTTCCAGCATGAAGACATTCTTATTACCATCATGGTGTATGGTTACATTTCCTTTTTGTGTAGGGCGAGAGGTACACCATATCTTCTTATATAAGTGCGGCCGTGGTTCAGAAGGTAGATGGTCGTCCTCCATCGAAAGGCTGGAGCTTCTATCCCTGCATTCAACATGTTGATTTGTTCTTGGGCAAGATACTCAACCCCAAGTATGAATGGGTCAATGCTGACTATGTTAAAGGACTTGAAGGGATCGCAAAGATCGGAAAACTACGATATAAAAGCAGACCATTTACAATTTACAATTCTTTAAGACCTCCATCCAAAGTAAGGCAGCACTTTCCCTTTGGATGCAGGTGCCAAAAGTTCAGACGGACAAATAAACTTCAGATCTGGAACAGGACTTGTCTGGCTCCGGGATGACGTGATGAGAGATAGCTGTGTAATAGAGCTCCGTGTTGAAATAGCAAGCTATTGGTGCTTGTGTGACACCCATTTCAGAACTGGTCTTCTTCTGCAAAAGTGATGGTGAATCAACAGTTTTGACAAGTTGGCTGTAAAACGTCGAACTCAAAAACACATAGACTACACCGTGTACATCAAAGGCGCTTCCGTCCCGGTCCATTTGGCACCGGATCGCAGAATGTCGGGAGCTTGTGTGAAGCGACACAGGGCGCAGAGAAGGGCAGGGAGTGCCCACACCATCAGAACATTTGTGTTTGCATGTGTGATGCATAGCTAGAAAGGAAGTCTTCAAAAGAATTCAGCTTTGATCTGAACTGAGAGGAAGTTAAGAAAACACTTTAATCAAAAACCCAAGGCTCTTCAGCTACCTGCAGGTGTTCATAAAGGTCGCCACAGTTCGAGGTCTACCTCATCTTCAGAGTATGCCACTGACTTGAACTATGGTGAGATAACACAGCACCTAGGTGCCACCACACACAAGAGAGACACAAGCAGAGTTTCCACTTTTACTGCTGTGTCTACCTTATACACATGCTAAAAAACAGAAGCCTAGCACTAGTCACAATGTTGGAAATGAAATGTTCAACTATTTTCACACATCTTGTTTGTTAATGCATAAAAAGAATCATTCAGGGCAGAAATTCACCACTTCTTACTTCTGACATTGTGTTTACAGCCACACTCATTCATTTGAAGAATACTGACAACATGTTTGTGACTGTGTGACGGCTAACTGGGTAAGTCAATGGCTAACTGGAATGTGTGGGAGTTGACCTCAGTGCAGGGTTGTTGGTAATGTGTAACCTCATGTCTCCACTCTCATGCTCAGGACCAGCTCATGAATATGAATTAGACTGTGAGAGCTAAAGGTCAATCAGGATGACGTCACCAGAAACATTTAAAAACAATTGCTTCAGATCCTTTCATGTCGATCAATTCTTTTCTGGGTAATCTGTATTATCCTGAGATGTATTTACAGATTACATTTGGCCTTGTAGGTCTAGCCTATATTCACAAATCACATTTAATGCAAGGTCATCCATCCAAGATCATCATGCAAATAACACTAAACAGATGTTTAGGTCAGTTATTAAGAATATAATCCTTAGCATATTTCACATATTGAGACATATTGCAGGATCATTACAAGAAAGGGTTTTATTCATAAATGAAATCCAGAAGCAATGATTTGTTTTGCTTTTTAGGATCGAAAAAAAAGAAAAGTAAAGAAACAATTTGTCCAGAAATAACTGCGGATGAAAGCTATGCCATTAACCATTCCATCTTTTTATCAAATCAATGACGTGAACATTGAGTATGTATTGACAGACACGTTCAGCGTGTGTTCAGTGGGAGTCCACAGGTTGGGTACGTGATGATAAATGGCAGACAGGACGGCTCGGGACCGTTAATTGTTGTTGGAGGCTGAAGGCTTCGCTGCTCATTTCACCTCGCGACAGGTCGGCAGGGGACGTGATCATTAATATTAGAACACTTCCATCCATCTACCTGAACACGAGGCCAGTCACTTAAAGGGCTGGCGCTGGGCAGACCTTTCACGCCCTGTTTATAACACTGATCCAAGCACATTACCAGAGCTGTGGGGGACCACTGCCACTCATTAATTACATTCTCACACACACACACACACACACACACACACACACACACACACACACACACACACACACACACACACACACAC